CTAACTAGGTTTGAATCCCGCTGGGGGTGCTGATGAGGTCGAAACTTCAGTCCACCCAAGATTATAATGTCTTTTGGGAAAGCAAGGCTATATAAAATATAATCTAAGCATCAGGTCTACTCATATCATTAAGAGAAACTTCAATTATTAGTCCTTCATCAACCTACACGAAATAGGGTGGATACAGTTCTTATATTAGACCTACTGGTAGTCTGGAAACTTTCATTTAAAAACAGAGAATATTTGCTACATATTTCAACCTAGAACCATCTGAATGTGTTTGCTTAGTGTGCCCTATGCATTTATGTGTAGGTAAGGGCATGAAAATCAGTAGTGATAGCTCCATACAATCTACCCAGAGCATATCATCTTCCTACAACCATCAAGCTTTAATTACATTTTGTTAGCCATAACTCAGATTATTTAATTTCAGGTACACAAGCGGTAAAAGTGCTCAGCTTTTTGTTTGTAATTAGGCTTCGAGACTACCAGTAGATCATATATTTTGGAGATTTATTAACTATATTTCATTTAAGGTGATGAGGGATTGGTAGTTTATTTTTCACACAATGTATAAGCAGGACTCAACTTTCCACTAAATTTCACATAACCATGTTTCCAAAAAGGTATTCTTATCCAGGGTGGACTGCAGTTTCGACCTCGTCTTGGTCTCATCAGCAGCCTTGGTGGGACTCTAACCCACACAAATGTGACACTTGAAGTGTCTGGCCTTAAAGTTCACATCTGCCCAATGGCCCTAAGGCACTTGTAGCCGTGTTGAGTAGTGGTTAACACGTCGAGACTATAGGCTGCACTACCAAAACTCAGGTTAGAGTCGCGCTGGATGTGTTGATGCAACCTAGGCGAGATCTAACCACCAGTCGACTCTCGTCTGTATAAGAATACATTTTTGGAGGCAAGGCCATATGGAATTTTATGTAAATGTGAAGCCTACTCATATTAATGAGGGAAGATGCAACTACCCTTCCTTTTCTTTTTAAAAGAAATAGGCTAAACACATCTTATAAATCTGCTGGATGCTTCTTTATTGTACGAATTCAGACGTAGAGAAAGTGTAATAAGACTTTAATTCGAGGCATGACTAACAAAAGACTAGTTTATTCGCTTCTATTTCCAGGCTGCCCACTACATACTCTATACTTAACTATATTAATATGTAATGAGTCATTCTTAATTAATCTTATACAGGCTTTCCTTGCATTCATTGTGGACATCGTAACCAGCACGTCTTTACCAGAATAAGAGGAAAGATTGCCCCGAGAACATCGTCAGCAAGACGAGTTCAGTATAGCCAGGGACAAGTAAGCTCAACAATTGTGAATCAAGAGGTTCCCGAATTCCAAATGCTCCCTCCGAATGCATAGGCAGGCTATTTCCGGGTTGGTAAGGCTGAAATTACTTCAAAGGCTTTTACATAAAGTATGTGTAGATTCCTGACGGATGATTGATTGTGTACATAATGTTAGCAAGTTTCCCACTTATATGATGGGATATTACGATTTTAACGTGCTTGCGCTAAAGTGTGGTCTACTGCGAAACCCAGAAAAGTCCCAATTAGGGCCGTTAGTCTGGTTGTCAACCGCAGGCGAACAAATAGTGTAGCCACCCACTTCTACTTACCGTGAGTGGTTTCTCGCTCATCATGTCACCATCTTCACCTCCGCCCAGAACTCCAGTGAGTCGAGGACACTTGTGGACGTCCTCTGCCTCGTTGTCCTGCCCTTTTGGGCTCCCGACGCAACCCACGTCAAGATCGGTACAATCTACCCGCCGGACCGCTGATTTCACATCATTTTCCAGGCTTGAGGGCACTTTTGCAGGCTGGTCTACTTCAGTCGGTAAGAAGAGCTGGCGTCTAGCGATGCGCTGGCAATTGATGAAGACCTCTACCAAATTGCCTTCAGCCCCACTCACTCCCATAGATGGATTATGGCCATTGTTGTCGCCGTCACCACGTCTCGGCGCCCATGTGTCTGCCAGACCGGCTGATACCGGCTTGGTTGCCAGGTTGGTCACTCGAAGCGCGACATTTTGCCAACTGCCTGGCGCCAAACTGGCGGCAGCAGCTGCAGCGACTCGGGAGACAATTCGAAACCGGAGACGATAGATTGTCCCAGGCCCCGATGTTTTGTTGGCCCCGTTGGTGGGCGGCAGGTAGACTGGCACCACGAGACGCAGGTGAAGAAGCCCAGTTCGCCGCCTCCACTGTTGGGGCCATGAGGTGGGTTTGGAGGTGTTTGCGTCCTCTTTGTGCAAGCCGAGAAGTTCAGGGTTAAGGATGCAAACCTCAAGCAGGCGATGCAGTTGGGTTGGGCTAAAAGTAAAATGGTGAAAGTTGGACGTATTGCATAAAAGGGTCGAAAAGGTGGATGACTTTCACACGGGCCGAAAAATAATTATAGGAAAAATGAGGGCAAGATAATCTGTCAATCTCCGGTAGTGCACACCCTTG